CAGCTGAGATGAACGACAATGCAAACAGCCTAGTTTTAATCATTGACCAGGATTTTCAATTGTGGCAAAGTCAAGTTGCTTGTGCAATTACTTTCCATGATATGAGCAGACGGAATATGTCAACTGATTGGGTAATCTCAATGCGAGTGCTTTACGATACACAGCCTTACATTCATGCAATCAAATTTGGAATAAACCACTGCACATCACTATTTGAGGCAAGTAATGTGAGTTACATAAAATGCACTGTGGGAAAAGGGGTCCCATGATTTACAGGCCCTTAAACTCCTAACTTAAAATGATTGACTAGCTTCTTGTTCTTGCTACTGTAAACCAAATATGCGCGCGCGTAGAGACGTGGGCTCGTAACACGGTACATAATGGGTCAGGCACGAGTTTATTTTGTGACTTGTTTTTGGTCAGGAATAATACCTGGTATACCTACATTTCGTTCTGTACACATTATGGTACACTGGTCTACGTTAAAGAAGGTTTATTGACAGTCCTGATTTCATTTAGGTTTGTTCACGTATCTACCAAATACACCGTTAACTTAAGTTAATTCTGACACTTAGAACATGTGTCTCTGCGAAATCAAAAAACTCGTGAACTTGCCTAGCTGTTCAATGCAAGAGTTGATGATGATTTGCAGAAAAAGTATTCCTTCTGCTTAACTTATGCGGGGTAGAATTGTTATCTGTATCAGCAAGCAAACTTGTCCTCATTTAAATTGACAAATTAATAATTTTTTTAGCTTTACTAACAAAACTCAGAAGCAATGAAGACTCACGCACGTTGCCGGTCAAAATGGAATGTGCCCTTACGCAATGCCACCCCTTTTTAAGTGTAAGAATAACAAAATATAATCTAGGGAATGCTGCCCTAAAACAAATATAGTTATGCTTAAGTAATGGCAATGATACCTTTACTAACAATAACGCAACCAGAAAAAGCGGCTATGAACCAAAGCATTTGGTGCAAAATAAATTTTTGATTGCTTTCCCCTTAATATGACAGGTTACGCAGATTTAATACTACCTTATTTATGAGACAGCAATTAATCAAAATTTTCCAATGAAGGTAATACATAGGGATAATTTCATCCAGGGCACCGCTTGTCAATCTTCATTATCGCTAATATTCTGAGATTCAGCGTCAGAACTAATCCGTCAATAGTGAATGGCTTAATGCAATTTAGCACTGAGACAGATCCTTACCAAATCATTCTGCCGCTTCAAGGCAAATTTTTTAAGGCAGTGGTGAGATTTGCAAAAAAATGCCAAAAATGTTAACATTGAGGTAAAAGATATTTTTGCCTGTCACGCTGCGTAATCTTAAGGATAATAAAAAGATTTCGATGAGTTTTTTAGCTCACAACCTCAAGACAAGAATGAGCTGTTTGTGGAATTCATGACAAAGGTAGATAAGCGATTGCATTGCATAAAACAGGTGTTCAAAACAAAGTTGATGGAGTTGAGCACAGTAAAACGGATGGATAATTTAATGAGAAGCCGAGGATGATTCTTTTGGAGATACCGTAGCAACAAATGCTTATGAATGACCATTTTACTTCATTCAATTGGCCAAGTGTACTCAATTTTCCGCCATGTAGTTAAAACCCTAAAAATTCGGGAACCAAAGACAATGCTGATATAGGGATGAGAAGTTCATTCTACTTTTACTTCTGTGGTGCGGATGAAATGCGTTCAAAGCCGTGATATGTCTATTCTACAAACCTCATAGCTTTCTAAACACGTGGAGAGAAAAACTTTTTGAAATTTAAATGATTTCGATTAACTGCAAATTCGACTAAAATTAATGCAATTTTACCTATTTTTCACCACGCTTGCTAGCCTCTTTTCTTAGTGATCAAGTGACAGTGTGGGAAACAATGTTCTTCACCGCTTGTGAAAAAGTTGTTGGACTGTATAGATGGCCCAGTATCCTGGGCAAATTCGACGCATTCGCAATGTCGATTTGCTACTTATAACCACACAAGTACGCAGTTGATGTGAAATTTATGTGATTAGGAGATTGTAATGCGTAACTTGGTGTTAATCATTTTCTACATAAAAATGGTCACTTAAAGTGCCATTTTACAGGACTGAATATAAGCGGTGGCATTTTAAATAATACAACTGCAGATGCCCAGTGCAAGCTTGCTTTACCACCTGATTATGCACACTAGTAGTACAAACTGAAGCAATCATGAACCAGAGTATCAGAAAAAAACTTATATTTACCTTTGACTAAAACAGATTTGTTTTTTGGCTTAAAGGAATTACTTATAGCTGTGCCGAACTTGCGAATCACTCTCTATTCGGCCGGTTTGGAGCTTCGTAATCCACTTAACTCCACAAACCAAGGAGAGGTATTTTAACTTCAGTACTGGTCTTGCCTTCGTAAGCCACAACAAGGATGATCCATCCTTTTACAAAATACGTGCAAAATTTGTACATATCGGCACTAGATGTTGATGAGTTTTGCACTGAATTAAACGGACAGCAATGGGGTTCCTTAAAATATGGCATGTTAACTGTGCCTTGTCATCTATCAATCTGAATGCAGAGAAGGAAGCAGCGGATTTGTCCAGTTTCCTGTGCATTTAAAATTCATGTGGTAAATAAACATGCTTTATTTACAGTTTACGCAGTAGTGTAGCCAAATTAAATAAGTGCCAACGCGTGATTAAAAGTCAAATTTTTTAATTTCATCGACATATTGGAATCACAAATGGGAATAATTGTTTTTTTGACAACCGGCTTTATTTCTTTGAATTCAGTTATGAAGAGCATTTGCCACATATCTAAAATTAGGTAGTTTTCGAACAATCAAATATCGAGATGATATGTTGTGTGGGGGACTGCCATCCTAACAACTTACACTTTATTTGTTAATGTGCAACTTGAAAACGATTTATTGGCTAAATTCACAAGATTTCCTCTGTTTTTGTCAAATTATGCCGCCATTTCCCTCAAAATAACTGTAACTACATGAGTTTATATGACTACGGAATACGAAATAAAGCTTTGTGCAGGAGGATGGGCAATAGTGAAAGCAACTGATTTACTACCACGCCGAAGGACTAGAGAACCAACTATTTGTTCAGATGGCGTGGGGGAGGACTCCATGATATCGCTGTGGCAGTCGGTTCTATGAAGGTCGAAAATGCCTACAATGAGAACCATGAAACCATGAGCATAAAACCAAAATCGTTCCTCTAATTTGCAAAGGCATTATAAATTGTACGCAGGGATGCAATCTGGCACTCAAATTATTCAAAATAAGATTGAGTGAGTCAGATTATCCGTCATTCACAGGGCCAAAGTTGTAGTGTAAATGTTTCACTAGGATGAATTGAATCAGGAATTATCGAGTCTAGTTGGTCATGAGGGTTGAGTTGAGTATGTCCTCCTAAGTAATGTGTTTATTATTGTGTAGTCCCGTGGTAAATGTGGTTACACCCGCATTCAGCATTTTGATTGATGTGGAATGGTGAGGAGTTATGGGTGCCGCGTCTGGTTTTGATTTTCGCGTTTTCTCAACGGAAGAGATGTGGGCAAGTTTTGTCTGCACATTAGGCTATGAGTTAGCATTGCAAATGGTGTCTGGAAACTTGAGCGAAATTTTCGATGACATCTACACTTCGAAGGCATCCCCTTGACTTGAAAAGCCGTCATGGTTGTAGGTGTCTTAGCGGTTTTCTCGAAACGAACCAGCATAAATTAATCAAACTTGACTGCACCAGATGCAAAATGAGGCTAATTTTATGTAAAATATTTAAATTTAAGTTCAAATATAGTCATCAGCAACACTTTATCGGGTGTTTTTTTTGACATGCTTTCATAAATGAAGTCCTAAGCATCTTAACAATGTGATTCCTTCAACTCAGACATGAGTCCAGCATCAGCCGACCTCAACAGACCGCTGAGGTAGAAAATGAAGTGCCAGTTGCGCAACTTCCTAAAACTTCTTGCAGGACATCGCTCCTAACAATATTTACAGGTGGTTTACTATTTGGTGCAGCTCATTTCCAAGTACCGTGTGGGACTGATGAGGGTGGAGTGTTATCGGTTAAGTAGCACAGTAAAATTCATGTACTGATTGGTCAAATCTCTGAGGTCAACATTGGTTGAAATAGAAGAACAACGTATAGACAAAAAGGTAAAAAACGCATGATTATTAAAATTGAAGTAGAAAAAAAGGCGGGTAGGGAAAAGATATCGACTGTAGATAACATCATTCTATGGGTATGAGGAGTCTGTCGAAGAGGAGGCTTTGAGAAGCGGAGAACTCATAGGCGTTCTGCCTTGGTATAAGTATTGGTCCTGCTGTACATGGCACCAGACAGTCAATAGACCCATCCTGTTGGTCTTCATAATGAATAAGCTGTGCTGTGACAGTACAACCGATGCTTAGGCTTTGCTTTCTGCTGTCTATTAAAGTCTTCATAATGACTATTCTTTGCTAACATATTTTCTGCCTTAATACTAAATTGTGCCGCAAACAGAGTTGACGAGCTTAAAAAGCTTGCTTCATTGACAGTGTTAGGTAGAGAGCAACTGCAAGGGTTTTACAGCTATGCCAAAATGAGTGGTGCAGTGAGCGCTAGACAACGCGGTTTCCTCTGTTTGCACATACTAGACGATAAATGCATAATTGTGACAGGGCATGCAATAAAATTAATCCTCATTGTAGCTGAATAAATAAATGAGTTAATAAGCGGATGAATAACAGCGTAAATAAGTTAGGAATAAATGGGTGAATGCAAGTATGGAAGAATAAATGGTTTTCTCGGCGCAGACTTCCAAATTCTCAATCACAGAGGCCGATTAGATTAAATTGTCGACCATGCGGCTTCGTACATAACCTAAATGCAGGAATTGTGCTTTCGCTAAAGCAGCCTGCCACTGAGTTCTTCCTTTCCCAACTCCGCAGACGACCTCTCCCCAACCCCATATATTTACCACTCTCACTTAATAACCAGGCTCTCTTTTTTCTTTTTATTCGAATCTAATTTTCTTCATCTAAATCACTGATAATCTCTGAGGTTTGATCAATAACTTCGTGGAGTTTGCTTCGTTACGTCAGTCCATCTCGGTGCTCTGAAATGATACGTATCGACTAGTAAACAAAATGCTAGTATTGGTAGGAATGATGCCTCGCTAGAAGTTGCAGGAGGTCGTGCAATCTACTTTCGATTTCTACCTCAATACTGCATTGAGATTGGCTGATACTTAGCTCAAGTGTGAAACGAATTGGCCCACAGGGTGGAGTTGCTCAGGTATTCTTTTACGGCTCCACGTCAGGCGAGCACATAGTAGATACTGGTGACCACTGTGGGGTACTATGTAGCAGGACATATATATCTCAGCATCCACTACACTTATATTCTGCTTAATTTTGTGATAAATATCAACGGGTGTGTGCCGTCTTTTTGAGTAGTAAAGCGAAGTGTTAATTCATTTTTACTGAAGTAAATGGGACTGGAAAAAAGGATGGATGCTGTAACATTTATTTTGGGGAATGTCTAATATCTTTTGGATGATGAAAAGGCTTAGCGGTTATTTATGAAAGCGACTGCTCAATACTGCTCACAAGCGTGTACAATGCAACATTGTGGTTTCAAAAATAAGGAAAAGCTGCATATGACGCGTGCTCTATAATCATGTTAGTTTTTGAGGCATTCGGCATTATAATTCTGCAAACTCTTAAGGAGTTTTATGCCCTAATAATTTGTTCCATCTGGATACTGAGGATTATTAACACCAGACACTTCAGGTGAATAAAATTCGGTGATTATTTGCTGATATCACAAAGCAAAAGCACATTAGTCAGATCTCCATTCACCATATATTCTTCTCGACAATGCAATGTCGAAACGAAGTGTTACTTTATAAAAAACAGGTTTGCCTAATTTTTAGCTGCCCAATGCGAGTTTTAGCTCCTACCTTAATAGATTTTAGACGTTGCACGATACTGCTTCGTCAGAAATGCTACAACTAGTGTCAAATGTGACCTCATAGCGCCAGTAGTAGTGACTGATTCGTTCAGCATACCTGTGTCGCTAGTTTTTAATTGAGAATGAAAAAGTGTGACGAGAATCACTAAGTTAACTGATTTGATTTATCCAACCTCATTACTATCATGGTAGACCTGGTTACAGTGAAAACTGGGAGGAATCGCTGCGTCACTTTCAAAATATTACCCATGCATTGGATGGTTGTCATTTCTGACGTGATGCTAGCAGTGCTCACATCGTCATCCATCAGTCGCTTCGTGTTTCTACACACAGCTACCATGAGAAAAGCAGAAATGGGCAAAACAGTGAAATGAGATCTTCATCGTAGGATGTACACACTAGATAAAAGTGCTTGATCAAATTCTCTTTTGAAAAAGTAGGCGATGCCAGACTAGAAATGGGTTACCTGATTGCTTCTGCTCCAGGTTAAGCATTTCTCGAAAATGGTGAATTTCGCTTACCATTAAACCACTCCGTATAAGGTTAGACACACTATTCG